AACCTGTTTAGAGCAGCACCTTTTCGTTTACCTCTTAAACCCTTGATCCATGACTGCCTTTTTGCTCAGCTGAAGAGGTCCTTAGAACAAAGCTGTGGTTTGTTTCTTGATGTTTTCACTGTGTCCTCTGTGTGTGCGTCTCCTGCTGGTACTCGTGGGAAGGGTTAGGTGGAAAAGAAGCAGACCCTGTTCTCACATTTGCTTTTGTGTTCCCAAGGAGCCACCTTCCTCGTCACGTTTGGAAACTCAGAGAAACCCGAAACTATGATTTGTCGTCTTTCCAATAACCAGAGGTAAGAGCCAGATTCTGCTTGGCACGGGGCAGCACTGTCACAGACCGGGAGCCTCGGTGGCACAGAGCCTGAGAGTGACCCGATTTGGACACTTTTATTTGATGTAGATACTTGTTTCTGGATGGAGACAGCCACTATGAAATCGAAATTGTGCACATTTCCACCGTGCAGCTCCTCACAGAAGGCTTCCCTCCTGGAGGTAAATGCCAGCACGTCCTTTCCTAAGCCAGGAGGGTTTGGTGCCATGCATGGGTGACAAGAGGAGCGTCCACTTTTGGGATCAGGCAGCCACCCTGAGGAACGGGGTCTGCTGGGTCTCCAGGACAGCCTGCCTTTCCTCTTTGGGGGGCGTGTATTTACTCAGTGGCTTTAGAACTCGCCAGGTGAGTGGAGACTTAAACCGTAAGACCACAAAGGGAAATTTGCCTCAGCATGTCGTAATGATTTCCTCTGCTCTAAATGCTGTATCATTCCGTTTATTGTTGGACTCAAACCAAGGATAAAGCCCCAAATGCAATAACTGAGATCCCCAGAAAGGTCTGAGTGGTGGCTCATCGGGAGCCAGCACTTCAGCCCTCCTCCTGCAGGCATCTGTGCAGACCAAACCCCTGGTGCTTTTCCTGGTGAGCTTTGGCCCAGCCTGGGCCTCTCCACTAAACTCCGCTGACGGGGAGCTCGCATCCTGTTATCTGCAAACTGTGCTGACAGATGCGCGTGCCGTAACCCATGTTGCTTTCTTTCCGTTCTCTCACCGGCTCTTGGGTGCTCCTTCTCGCCACTGCCTGCCCACCTTCTTGCCATAGAAAAAGACATTCATGCTTACACCAGCCTCCTGGGGAGCCAGCCTGCCTCTGAAGGTCAGCCTCTTCCTCCTCGCCGGGGCTCCCTGCATGCGGCGGGCCCGTTCCTCCCCTCGCCACCTGGCTTCTGTCCACGGGGTGGTCCGTGCCAGGGTTCTTTGTGAAACCTGAATTCACTTCTTTTGGTTGACTTAAGAGAGATGTTGGGTCTGGTACGTGGGTTTCTAAAGCATAAATGAAGATACCGCAGCAGATGTACTTTCTCAGTTCTGTCTCGGGGGGAGGGTTACCCAGCAGTTGACAGCTCTCTGTCAGTACCTGCCAGCCCTGAACTGGCTGAGGCCAGCGGGCATGGGTGCTCACAGGGGCTCACCTGCCCTCGGGAGCCTCTCCCAACTTTGCCCTTCCCACTGAGGCCTGGCACTCCTCAGCTCAATGTGGCCTCCTGGGACCCCTAACTCTCCTGGCACTTCTGTCAGCCTCCTGAATGATGAGGTGAGATGCCCAGGCCAGTGTTTTGCCACCTCTGTCCTGAGCTCAGGGACGTGTTTGGAGCCGGGATGGTGTCAAGCTGGTTGCCTTGAGCAGGCTGCGTGGTATAGACGCCCAGGTGCGAAGGGTAGGGTGTGGAGAAGCGGGGGTCACCCCAAGCACCCCTCTCTGCCTGCCTCCTCCTGGGGAGCCTGAGGCTCAGATGAAGGCCAGTGCTTAGGGGCATCCAGTGCTCCTGAGGCCGGGGCAATGGAGCCTCCGGGACTGCTCTCCTGGGCTGACCCTCCCCAGGGCTTCTGGCACTGTGTCCCCTTGTGATGGCTTGGGGGGTGCAGTGAGCCCCACTCTGCGCAGTCTCAGCAGAGCCCTTCAGACCCCAGCACCGTCTTCCAGTGGGGGCGGGGACAGTAGTAACAGTCCCCTGACCTGAAGGCAGCCAGGGGGCCGCCTGCCAGCCTGGGCCCTGTAGGGCAGGCCACACACTCATTCTTTCACGGCCAGATAGTAAACCTTTGCCAGCCACGTGCCGTGGTAAGGTGGAGGCAGCTGCAGAAGACAGGGTGACAGACGGCCATGGCTATGGTCCAGTGGTGCTTTATCAAGCAAACACAGGCGGTGGACAGAGCCAGGTCACTCTGCTCTAGAGCCCAGGCAGGACGTTACACTGATAGGGAAGGTTCCCCAGTGTAGGGGCTGGGTGGGTGTGCCCTAACCATAGAACTAGGCTTATGAAAATGTGGTTCCAGAGGCCCGGCATGGTGGGCCCCTGTAACCCCAGCACTTTGGGAGACTGAGGTGGGTGGATCACCTGAGGTCAGGAGTTCGAGACCATCCTGGCCAACATGGTGAAACCCTGTCTCTACTAAAAATATAAAAATTAGCCAGGCATGGTGGCAGGCGCCTGTAGTCTCAGCTACTTGGGAGGCTGAGGCAGGAGAATCGCTTGAACCCAGGAGGCGGAGATTGCAGTGAGCCGAGATCCCACCACTGCACTCCAGCCTGGGTGACAGAGACTCCAAAAAAAAGAGAAAAAAAAAGCCAGACACGGTGGTTCACACCTATAATCCTAGCACTTTGGGAGACTGAGTTGGGCACCTGAGATCGGGAGTTCGAGACCAGCCTGACCAACATGGAGAAACCCTGTCTCTCCTAAAACTACAAAAAAGAGGAAAAAAAAAAAAAAGGCTGGGCATGGTGGCACATGCCTGTAGTCCCAGCTACTCAGGAGGCTGAGGCAGGAGAATCCCTTGAACCCGGGAGGCGGAGGGTGCGGTGAGCCAAGATCGGGCCACTGCACTCCAGCCTGGGCAACAAAAACAAAAACTGTGTCGCGGGGGCGGGGGTGGGGGGAGGGGAAGAAAGGAAAAGTGTGGTTCCGGGGCCTCCGGCGCTTGCAGCTGCAGCCTTGACGCCCACTCCACCAACCGGCAGAAGAGCCGGCCCTGGGTGCTGATGGGGGGACGTGTGTCTGATGGAGGGGTCTCCCGAGAGGTCAGCGATTGCTCACGATGGGGCTTCCCTCCCAAGTCATTAAGTTCATGGGAGGCTGCATCCCATGGGTCTCTTTCAACTCCAGCCCTGCCTGAAGAGTCGCTCTCTTGAGCGGTTCATTGTTGGAGCAAGTGCTGGAATTGAGTCATTGTCACTGGATCAGCTGGTCACTGCTGCCCAAAGACGGGGAGCCTGGGTCCCCTAGGTCTGGGGAGATGGCCCGTGACCAGGCTGGGGTGGCATTTCCCTGGCACTGGGCCTTTGTACTGACAGTCCCCTCTGTGCTGCTCCCCAGAGGCTGAGGCCTCCGACTCCTGGGTGTGAGGCCAGCTGTGGCCCTGACCATCTGCTTGGCCTGTCGGTGGCCAGGGCACTCTCGAGGTGGCCTCCCCTTTTCCCCCAGCCCTGGGTACAGGTGGGCATCTCTGCAGGAGCCAGTCTGGTCTGGGGGTTCTCTGAAGGCAGGAACCCCCACAGGCCCCAGGGCATAGCAGCACCTCAATTAGTGAACAAGGCCTCTTGTGGTGATGCGGCTCTGGTGGTTTGTCCCCAGCCCTGGGGCACCCGGCTGAGTGTCTTCGTCCCTCTCCCACCTACCCTGTGAGCTTGGGGTCTCCCTTCAGAGGCCTGAGATGGTGTTTCCTGGGTGCTCCTGAGCACCAGTCCTCACCACCAGGCTACTCTTGGGACCAGCACAAGGTTAGGAAGGTGTCCTGGCCACCACCACCTTGGGGCTGGTGACCACCTAGGCACTCAGGGTCTCCTTTGGGCCGTCTTACTTCGTCTCCCTCCTCCAGGAGGCAACGCACGGGCCACAGGCATGTTCCTGCAGTATACAGTGCCGGGGACGGAAGGTGTGACCCAGCTGAAGCTGACAGCGGTGGAGGACGCGAATGTGGGCAGGAGGCAGGCGGTGGCGTGGCTAGTGGCCATGCACAAGGTACCTGAGCCCAGGCCAGGGAGGCTGGGCCCTTTGGCTTAGAGCAAAAGCTTGCCTTTCCCAGAGGAAGCTGTGTCCTGCCATTTGACCCCCATTCCCACAATCTGTTCCCCCTCGGCTGGGGTGCCCATGCCATCTCCCCTCAAATGCACTCAGGCTTGGCTCCACCAGGCACAGGACCAAGCAGGTCTCACTGTGTTGATCTTATCTGATCTGCAGGCTGCAAAGCTCCTCTACGAATCCCGGGACCAGTAACTCTACGTGGGTCTGAGCTTGGAGTACATGTGGTCACCAGGACTGAGTCGCTTGGAACAGCAGAGCCTGCTCCTTGCGCACCACAGGGATTAATCCTGCTTGTGCTGGGAAATGCAACTCATGTATTTGGAGAAACAGAAGTGTTCACTTATCTAGTGCAATATGTTCACAGTTTATTAATGCTTTAAACAGCTTCATGTTTTAGAATTTGTGTATTGTCAATACTTAATTGGGGGTGGGAGAGACTGAGCTACACTACTGCTAAACTATTTTTAGCATAATATATACTGTTTTTATGAGTTCCCAGGTTCACTAGAAGGTTCTGGCCCATCGATATTCATTTCATTTAACTGTTCCACAGAACCAGTTTGGGTAGTAGGAACTCAGGCTTCTGATCTGCAGTACAGCCTGCTCGCCTCTAATAGCCAGTTTACAGCACTTGCCTTAGCCTGTTTTACAGACTGTCCACTTACCTTATCACTAATTTTGGACTTTTGGGCTGTGAGTGATCCTTTGATACTTCACTAAGGGGAACGTGGGGGCTTTGTGTTTTGTACTTTTCACTCACTATTTCACTTTATTAAAAGATGACTGTACAGCAATTTGTATATAAAGCTTATGATTAAAACCTATTTTGAACATACGGACAAGGCCTCGCCTTCCTGTGTCCAGATCACCTGAACCCTCGTGCCGCAGCGCAGTCTGGCTCCAGAAACAAGACTCACAGCCGCCAGGGTGAGACGGGTTTATTGTGCACATTTACACAGCGTCAGCAGCGTCGGGTGGCAGTGGCCACGCTCCTGTGGCCGGGCTGCTCTACAATGGCATTCAGTTTTCTTCACCACACTATGTACAGTCAATGCTCCAGGGTGATGGGCTACAGTGCTGCATCAGTGACTCTATACACACATTTATACATAAATTACACACAAGACTCATACATGAAAAATAGAGCCTAAGGGCCTGTATTTTAATGAGAAAAAAAATTTCCAACATAGTTCGGGTAGCTTTGAATGGTCTAGTCAAAAAATACTTTTGGTATATAAAAAGCCTGTACGTACAATTCACACCGCAGTGAAGCGTCCTCCTCGCCTCGAGGCTGGGCCTGGGACAAAGGTGGTGTCCTCACAGCCAGCCCAGGCAGGGAGATCAGCAGAGGGGGGTGGCCCCTGACCCCATCTCCTCTGCCCCAGCTGCTGCCCCTTGGTGGCGGCCCCTCCTGATGCCAGGCACCTGCCATCCTTCAGACACCAAACAGCCCCATCTACCTGGCCCTGGTCTGCCCTCACGCCAGTCCACCCCCAGCCCCAACCCTGACTACCCTCCGCTGCCACGGCCTCCAACACCTGACTCCATTCAGAGAACTGAATTTGAGCTTGCAGGGCTGAGAACCACACTGAGCAGCATGAGAGGCTGTAAAATCACAGAAGAGTATACGCTGAGGCTCTTCCGATTGTCACTTGGTCTTAGGGGTCCTGGTGCCCGTGGCGTGGCAGTCCAGCCACAGTGCTGGGCCTGCACAATCAGCCTTTAGGTGAACTGGAACAGGAAGCAGAACCCCCAAGGCGGCCAGGCAGGGTGGCTGCTGGGAGGCATACACGTCGGGCAGCAACACTGGACACGTTTCCATACAGAGGCTCCTTTGGTGATGAAGGGAGGAAGAAGGATCGTGTGTGGGGAGTGTGAGAAAGGATGAGTGTCCGATGCGGTGACAGGAGGCAGGGCTGTCGCAGGGGAGCAGGCCTCACAGCCACGGACAGTGTTCACTGCTGGAGGGGGTGATGGCCTCGGGGCCAAGTCAGTAAGAGCTGTCTTCACTGGCAACCAACCAGGGGTTATGGGACCTTCTTAATGGCAAGAGGGGTGGGTGTTTTGAAAGCGGGTATTTATTTGGATTTATAGTAATTGGCAAAATTCAGTCCTTGGAGGCGAAAGTACCTCTCCCAGTTATGGGCAAACTGGAGAAAGGGCCTCACCTGGAAACTAGGATTCACATTGTGGACGCTGTCTGCTGAAGTGAGCACCATTAAGACCATTTTCTAGCTTCAGCTTTCCTGGGAAAACGGCACAATAATCTCTTCAGTGGCTCCTGGTAGCTGGCAAGACCATGCGGTGCTCCAAAAGGAAGTTCAGGCGAGCGTTCGCTGTCGGGGTTTGATCCGTGGATACAGCTGGGAAGCAACGGAGCCGCGTCAGGACAGGAAGCCACACATACGGAGCAGGGTCAGCCAGACCCGACCCCTGCTCCTCACCTCAGCCACCCTGGACAGCCGTGCAGCACCCTTCTCCCTCAGGCCCACGCTCAGCTGCACCTCTATGCTGAGACCCACCCAGCCCCCTTTCAGATGTGCCTCGTACCCCCAGAACATCCTATTGCTCTCACAGCACTTCAAGCCACCTAAAGACTTGTGACTGCCTGTGGCTCTCAAGGTCATCAGCTGCCCTGGGCAAGGGTCTCTGCCTGGCTCCCTGCTGTGTTTGCCTGGCCAGGAACCTTGGCTCAACAGGGAGCCCCTGGCAGCTCCACAGGGCACATAGAGAGAGCAGAGGCCGCTCCCTCTGCCAGAGGACTGATGGAATCACAAGTCCAACACAGAGCTAGCAGCCTGCACGTTCCCACCTCTCTCCTCCGACGGAGAAATTTCTAGGCTGCAGAGATTTCTAGATTGGGGAAAGTGTGGGTGGGGTGAGCTGGGCTGCTTGTTGAAGTTCATCATGAACCAAGCTCATTGAGCTGCCCCTCACTGGGGCACTCGGCCTCCACGGCGTGAGCATGGCCAGGGGAACCTCCTGGGGCCCTGCCTGAGCCTCATGCCAGCACTGCCAAGTAGGCACCTCCCCCTATACAGAGGGGGCTGCTGAGGCTCAGAAAAAGCACAAGCCTCCCTCCCCAGCCCCACAGCATGACAGGACCGCATGCTGTACAGAGACAAGGACAGCAGGTTTCCCAGTACGTAACCTGAGTGCTCACCCCCAGCAGGTTTTTGGGCACATAGCCCTCCCGGTCTCCAAGGCGAGCCCACCACCACTCAGTCTCGCTTTCGTCCTTGCGCCTCAGGATGGTGAGGGCGTCCCCTTCGTGGAAGGACAGCTCATCACTGTTCTGGGCCTCGTAGTCCCACAGAGCATACACCACACCTTTGTTCATCACACCCAGCTTTTCCTGCACCCCTGGAACCAGAGAGCAATCGTCAGGCCTCAGCAGAGGGTGGCCTGCAGAGAGGGACCCTGCTCAAGGAATAGGACACGGTCATGCTGCTGCCGAGGCTGCTCTCAGCAGGCCCCACAGAGGCCAGCGTGGGAGATGAGAGACTATTGGAGACTAGGGCTCCCACCTGATACCTCCTGACACCTCCCCTGCCCGGCCCAGCTGCTGCTGCTGCTGCTCCTGCTGCCGGCCCTAAGCCCTGCAGGACAGACAGGACAAACGAGCTCCTGAGTCCCAGGGCAAAGGTGTGCTGTTCCTAAGGTGACACTTAGCAATCACAGCGAGAACAGATTTCTAAAGTCACTAACTAGAGCAGCTGTGACTGTGCTTCGATGGCAATGAACAAACTACACACAACTGAGCCCTGACCGAACAGCTACTTGTGGGTCCCTGACAAAGGGCCTTCTGCGGGGACATGGCTTCCGAGGCCCAGTTGTGGTGACCGTGGGGAGCTTCCCCTCCCTCTGCTGGTGCCACTGTGACTGCAGCCTCCTCCTCACACTGGCTGGACTCACCTGGGGGCTGCTGTGCCTCCCCAGCCCTACCATACAGCCTGAGAATTTGTTGCTTGGCTCTGTTGCGGGAGCTTGGGCCAAGGAGGGCATCACCTGGCTATTTTCATGGATAATTTCAACCCTAGGGTCCAGTGTAGGGCACACAGTATGTTCTCAAGTAATGTGTGGAATAAGTGACTCGGGACTGTTTAATACTCAGAATGGAGAAGATGTTCCAGCGCTTGGAAAATGTGGCCCTGGCTAAAGCAGCTTAATTAGGACATGAGCCTCATTCATCAGATGTTTCCGGGGAACGGCCAGGGCCCCAGGCCACCCCAGGAATGGAGCTGGCCTTGCTTCCGGAAGCAAGGGTGCAAAACATCTATGCAGAGCACAGCCAAGTCATTCTGTTTTCTTGGGAATCTGGCAGAGAATCTTTCTAACAACATGGACTTTCAAACATGTTTTCAGGAATGAAAACAAGGGGCAGTGTGACCTTCACTCGACTGAGACATCCTGGCTGCCCCTGAAGAAGGTGGAACAGCTCGAGAATGCTGTGCTGCTGGGCACGGTGGCTCACACCTGTGATCCCAGCACTTTAGAAGGCTGAAAGTGGGCAGATCGCTTGAGCCCAGGAGTTCGAGACCACCCTGGGCAACGTGGCGAAAAACTGTCTCTACAAAAAAAAAAAAAGTACAAAAAATTAGCTGGTTGTGGTGGGACAAGGCCGTAGTCCCAGCTACTTGGGAGGCTAAGGTGGGAGGATCAATTGAGCCTGGAAGGTCGAGGCTGCAGTGAGCCATGATCGCAACACTGCACTCCAGCCTGGGTGACAGAATGAGACCTTGTCTCCTGTCTTAAAAAAGCAAACAGAAAGCTGCGCTGAAGCTTCTCTGGTACCTGCCGACTTTGCCGTGGCAGTTCCATGGCAGTTCCATGGCAGTACCATAGCAGTACCGTGGCAGTACCATGGCAGTACCACGGCAGACAGCACCACTGTGGCCCCAGGCCTCCCCTGCATACCGTATAGAAACTGGGAGCACTGGATGTAGCCTTCCTCCATCTCCTCACACTTGTCTGCAGCAGTTTCAATGTCGCTTATGGTTGAGGCAAAAATGGCGGCACCACTCTCCACCAGCTGTTTGCAGAGGTGAACGCTGTTACAAGAGGCAGCGCAGTGCAGCGGCGTCCTGGAATAGAGCACAGGTGAAGGTGCAGGCCTGGCACTGCCTGTCCTGTAGGTCACGGCCCTCAGAGATTTCCCTCTAAGGAATCTCATGGAAGGCGCTCGCCTTTGTGCCATCAAGTCTCTGTGTTGTTTCTTTAAAGGCATGATTTCCATGAGTCAATTGTTTCAGACCATACATACATTTTGAAAAGGGGGCACAGGGAATGGGTTAAGAAATGGCCAATCCACAGATATTCACGCCACACTGCATGGTGATGTGAATGTACATAATACACTGAAACACACATTTAAAAATAGCTAAGATGTGAAATTTTATGTTATGTGTATTTTACCACGATTCAAAAACAACACAATGACAGCTGTCTAAAAGTTCAAAATAACCCCCACAGGAGACCAATGTGTCTCGCCCAGCAGCATAGCTCCCGAAGGCAAACGGAAATGAACAATGCAACAACCTACATGCCTGACCCAGGGGGATGCCGAGGCTGCTTTTCACACGGAGCATAGAGTGTGAAGAGTTCATATGGAACACATGAAAAGGGGAAGATGGAATGATTCACAGAATGCTTAGATTGCAATGTTAATGATGGGGCACAGAAGGAGCATAACCACAGCCATGTTTTTAACAAAATCATCAAGAGAAAAGGCTGGAAAGACAGGCAAGGAAACCCTGGCAACAGCTATCTTTTAAGGATGAAATGATGGGTGTTCTTGCTCTAATTCTCTTCCGTGCTTCCTGTTTGTCTAGAACATGCATGTTTTCCTTATGTAAAGTAGGGAAAGTAAATCTCTCCACCCCACACCCCCACAGGGCCTCACCATCCATCACTATCAGCAGCATTCACGTTGACGCCAAAGTCCAACAGGAACTTCACGATGTGATGGTGGCCAGCGCAGACGGCGTTGTGCAGTGGGGTGATCCCTTCATCATTGGGCTTGCTGGGATCTTCCACCTAGGACACATGGCCTGTGAGTGCCCGCCCCCTCGCCCCCAGCAGCGTGCACTGGTCCCCAGCTGCAGCTCACCTCGTAGATGATCCTCTGCACCAGATCGAACTCTCCTTCCAGAGATGCGTCTAGAAGCAGTGCCAGGGGGTTAAACCGGACTCTCAGCCCATGCCCTGTCCGCTCCGAGTTGGGCTTCTTCAAGTTGGTCCGTTTGCTCTGTTGGGAAGGAAGCAAGCTTTCCAGTTAGAGCTGGTCCACTAAAGTCTAAGAACCCACGCCTGCTGCGAAAGAGTGGTGAGAGCTAAAGCCCAAAGACAGTGGCTCTGTGAAGCATCCCTGGTGTGGCAGCAGTAGCAGCACCCAGGTGACCACCTCAAGTAAGGGGCAGGGCCACTCTATGCTCACTATAAGGGAGAGCACTGCCCTGGGGCCTGAGTCCCTGGCTCACTCACAGAGGGACACGGTTGTGTTTGAGCTTCTGGCCACTCCTCGGAAGACCCTGTGGGAGGGAGGGTGGCGTGTGACTGCCAAGTAGCTGATGGGAGCCAGCAGCTCGTTCCTGCCCACATGCGATAGGGTTCTTCCTGCTACAGCACCAGATCCTAGTGGAGAAAACCCCACCGAGGGTTCCCTGAGATGGCGCCTGGCTCCCTCTCTGCTCCATCAACACTGACCTCCCACCCAGGGCCTTTGTCTAGATGCTTCTTCCCTCGTCTCTCTACAGGACCTTCAGGTGCCAGCGACAGCTCCCCTTCCTCAGGAAAGCCTCTGGAGCTCCCTGACCAGCTGTCTGGAGCTCCCTGGCCACATGCACAGTGTGGCCAAGCCCCATTTGTCATGCCTTTTCATGCCCCATTGGTCTGTGTGACTGTCCGTCCTCCCCACAAGACCTAACTCAGGGACATCCCTGGTTCTCAATGCTCCCAGCACAGCCTGACCAAGGGAGGACCCCAGAGGTCCTAGTTGCATGAATGACCAGGAAAGCCAGGCTTTGGTCTAGCAATGACACCCACCGTGGAGGTGGCAGGAGGGTGGCTGGCAGGGGGAAGAGGTGCTGGAGGGACCTGCTCTTCCCCTGGAGATGGGGCCTCGACCACAGGACTTGGGATCTGCTCCGTGGAGGGGACCGTGGCCACATTGTTGTTATTGTCCTCCGCCGGCTCGGCAGTTTGGTAGGTGGTTTGCGGACAGATGAGCTCCTCTGGTTCGGGGGAAGGTAACTCATTATCATTGGCATCTGACGACGGGGCAGGCTCGGCGGGGAGTGGGGCTGTAGGCTGGGCAGGGGGGGGCTCTTCCAGGTTTCCATTGGCATTGGTGTTTCCATTGTCCACATCGGCCAAGGTGCCCATGAAGTCCTGGGAGGGGCTGGGCTGGTAGAAAGGGGTGCCCTCCATGCCGCCGGCCAGGGTGTTGAAGCGCTGGTACAGCAGCTTCTGGATGTTGGGCCCGCCGGGGCCTTCGGGCTCTGTGATGGAGCTGCGCTTCTTCAGGGGCCGGGGCGCATTGGCCAGCTTCCGGCGGAGGGCCTCCAGGTCCGCGTCACTCTGGTAGCGCAGTGGCGAATGCACGATGGGCGTGAGCTTGGTGGGGCTGAGTGGCCGTGGCAGGCTCTCCACGGTGCTGCCATCTGTGGGGGCGGCGGGGCCGTCCTGCTCGGGCTCTTTCTCAGCACTTTCTGAGGGTGGCTGAGGCTGTGGTGTGCCCGTGGACAGTGACCCGTGAAGAAACGGCAGCGGCGATGGAGATGTTGAACCCGAAGGTAAAACAGGCTTACCATACACTGCGAGAGACACAAAGGGCAGAGGCAATTTGGACCTCACTGCAGAGATCTAGTCATACACACCTATGATTACACCAGAGGCAGGCTCCTGCAGAGACATATATACATCTGCTGCTGTTCTTCAATTCTCATTTCAAATCTCTGAGGAAACCTCCTCCTCCTAGAGCCTCCACTGACTCCTTCTGAAAGGTGCAGTGCCTCTCTTACGTGTCGGTTTTTATATTTGGGTTTCCAGAACTGGAGGTTTTTCAGAAGAAAAAAATAGGCTGCTAACCCAACTTTCCCGCCGCAGACAAGCCTGCCTGTTTTCTGGCCAAGGAAAAAGACAAAAACCACTAAACATGCATCTGATTCTCGGACTAACTCAGGTGACGGAGAAACACGCGCCTCCTCAGAGCAGGAAGGTTTTACCTGAAGTCCAGGAGCTCTTGAGAATGGTCTAAGCCTTTCCCACCATGGCCATAACCCTCCCCACAAGGGAACACTGCACCACCACCTGGGAGGTCCCTGTGCAGGGAGTGACCAGGCACGTCCAGGAATCCCTCAACTATGAGTCTAGAAGCTGCAGCCAATGCCCAGGAATGTCTAAGGAGGCCCTAACCTAGAACTGACCCGCGGCTTCCTCCCATAAGAGCTGGAAACACCATCGGCCTCTGTGGTAGGTGTTGAACTAAGCTACCTTCTCTCAGCTGCCTTCTTAGAACATCTGAGCTCCATAACCCAAACCAAGGCTTTCCTCTCCTCTGGGCTATGGGGGAGGCTCCTAAGCAGCAGAGGCCCTCCTTAAATTGCCCATGCCCAGGGGTTGGGTTCAGCCACTGCCAGGAGGGCCAATGGTCAAGGCCACCCTCTGCTCACTGGACAGCTCCTGGCACAAGTTACCATGAAACACAAGGAAAAGAGGAAATTCTCAACATCTCACCCTTCCTGGAGCTGGATTTCCTAAGTAGCACAGGGAGGTGGCTGCTCAGACAGGAAGTCAGAGAACTGTGAGCCATCTGCAAAACGGCCTCCTCTATGCATTCCAGCTTCCATTCCCTTCTCACACTGACACCCAAGGCTGTACTTTTACGTAAGAATTAAGTTTAACCCTAAATAGCACATGGCCCAAATATAAAGATATGCATTAGTATTTTCTTAATTAAAAGTATAATTTTCTAGCCCAAGAAAAGGAGAGTATAAACCCACTCTACCTGCTTTAACTGACTTATTTAAGGCGCTGTGTGCTCCCGGCTGGTAATTCTTAGGTGGTGTGGCTTGCTGGAGGTACATGGAGTATATGGAACTTGAATTCACTGTCTGGGGTCCTTTCCTGGGAGACTGTGGCCTTGATCCTTTATCGGCCAGGAAGGGCCTAATGGCCACTGTCAGTGGGAGTTCAGGCTTGCTGTCCCCAGCTGGAAATGCAGGTGGTCCCGCTGGCGGGTACGTGGGACTTGGCGGTACAGAAATCCTCTGCTGAATCTGTTGTGAAGAGCCTGGCTGGGGGGCACTGCCTGTGGGGGGCAGCAGGGTGGGCCTCTGTCGACTTGGCAGGCCTGCATTGGGCCTGGGCAGGCTGCCTTCCTTCCTCCTTTCCAGGGAGCTTGTCGACCCAGGACCCAGAGGTGTGGGACTTGGGTATGTCCCATAGCTTGGAGGCAGCTGTTTGCCTCCACCCGGGATGGGAGGTGGCACTTTACCCATCTCGGCGCCCTAAGTTTAGGTGTTAAGAAGAAAAACAAAGTCACCCTTTGAGCAGTTAAGCATATTTCCACCCACATTCCCGAAAGAATACACAGTAGGATTTGTAATCCGTCAAATTGGCTGGGACCAGGGCATGGGGCACACTGTTGAGCTCATTGCCTGTCTGCAAAAGTTCTGACCGAAAGGTGTGTGTACTCGTGGGCTGCTCAGGCTCTTGGCGCCCAGTAACCCTCTCAGGACTTCGGGTGTTGTCTGGACAATAACAGGATTAACTTGCCTCCTGACAAGTCATACCCTTTAGATTAGTACTAAGGCAGAAGAGAGCTCTGTTGAAGAGCTTGCCTACCGGCTTCTCCGCGGATCCCAGTGCTGAGAAGGGCACAGGCTGGCTGGAGACGGTGCCCTGCTTGACAGACCCCTCCACGCTCGGATCCTTCCAGTCTGCACCAGCCACCTGCACTGGTTTCACTGAAGAGCTAGAATTCTGTTTTAATGTTGGCCAGTTTCCATCATTAGCTTGAAAAGAACACAGAACTTAAGTAAAACTATTCTTGATGTTAGTTGAACCAACCTAAGAATAACACCCTGCCAGAAACAAAAACAGCACTGGGACATCCCATTCTGATGCTGATCCATTAACCAAGTGGTTGACCACCAGCCACATGCACAACTGATCTCCTCCAGCGCCCACAGACCCGTGCACAAGACCAAGGGATGGGCTCTGCTGGCAGCTCACTGCCAATGCCCAAATCGCCTCAAGTGTTAGCAGAGACTCACGCCAAACCAAGGTTCCACTGGTGCGGGCCCGGGGCTGCGCCCTATTTCAACACAGGTCAAATCCATTACATTAGCACCACCAAATAAAACAAGCACTGGCCCTTACTTTTGAAACACTGTTTATAAACACAATTACATGGAGCAATAGAAAAGATTGATCTTTTGACTTCATAACAGGTTTGACCTGTAGCACTTTCATTACTGAGATAAAAAGTTCTGCCCTCTAAGGTCACTTATGATCACAGGAGACCCATGCAAGTCCCCACTGATGTGCGTAGCAGGAGGAGCAGGCTATCGTTCTGTTGCAGTGATTAGAAAGCCAGTCATCAACCCCAAGTTTTTAGGAAAGCCACTGAAATGATACGTTCTTTATGGAGTATTTTCCAAACTGAAAAAGGGTGCAGAAGTGTCCCCTGGTAACACAGGACCCCTCACAGTGGCCTAAAGTCCATTATAACACAGGTTCCTGGGTTTTCTTTCACAGGAACAGGTGCTGAACTGAACTAAAGTGTTCAGCACTTCCAGCGCCACCAGCAATATGGGACAGACAGAAATCAGAGGGACTGTTTTGGGCCCTCCTGGCAGGAACAGCACATCCCCTTCCCTATCCCATCTGCCAGCACAGGCAACTAAGCAGCAGCAGGAAAATGATTGGTCCTCACAACAACGCTTGAGCCAGAACTCTGGACTCATAGAACATGACAAGGAAGCTTCCCAACTGCACTCTGAGCGCCTGGGCAACACAGGGGCCCACCAGCCGCAGCCTCACATGGCTGGCTCCTAAGCCAAACCGATCCGATGCAGCAGCACTGCAACCCCAGCCGCATACACTGCTGGGCTGCTAAAGTGTGACGCTGCTAAACATCACTGCTGGCTCCAGGCAGCAGCTTCTGCGACAGCTCTAGTCAAGCCCCGTGGGTCCTGGCGAGGCATTTCAAGGCCCCTGGACCAACTGCCATCTTGCTCCATGTGGCCTGGAGGATGTGTGGCCAGAAACCTGCAGGCTCCCCAAGAACAGGGCCTGTGCTCTCAGGGTCACAGGGAATGTGGCTGTCCAGCTGCTTCAGAAACCACCCAGCAACAGGAAGTTTTATGGAAATCAGCCATAGTGGGGACCAAAAAGCAATTTTCTCCTTTCTTCAAAACAAGGCAAGAGGTATAGAAGGAAAATCACTTATTTTCACTGTAGAGGAACAATTATCTTTTAGTATGACTGTAAAACTAAAAGCCTCATAATAAACTCAGAAAATTATCTTAATTTTGTAAAAACAAACAAAAAACCCTCCAAAACAAAACCCATGCTATGCCAGCATCTGTCCCTCGGTGTCACACCCTTTCTGAGGATGGGAGGGTACATGTGAACCCACCCAAACTCCGTACCTGTCTGTTGAAGAAAGGGACAAATTATGTTTGTGTGGCATCTTTTTCAAGTCTAGATGTGATGAGCAGACCTTTGTCAGTTTGGAAAAACAAGTGATAGTTGATTTTGTACATATTAAAGAGGACATAGCTTCCCACTAAGCTTGTCAGCCAACATACGGTTTACAAATGGGCTTGCAGAGGGCCGCGAGGAGCCATAGTTAGGCCCGACGTCGAGGTCTGACACTGTCCATGAGCTGGTCACTCTGGGTTTACTGTGGCCATCTGTGTGACACAGAACCAGGACAGCCAACAGCGAGGGATTAGAGTCCCTGCCAGGAGGTTTCACACCCCAGCTCCACCTCTGGGCTGAGCTTCTGTCCCCACTCTGAAGGCGAGCACAGGTTTCCTGTGTCCATGACTTTAAACCACAGCAGAGACTAGGACCACGGCTTTGTGAAGGCATCTCCTTCCTACAACCCCTTGAGGCAGCACAGCAGACACCAACAGGGATGGGAAACAGCAGATATTCTCAGCTTGGGGAGTTTTTCAAACGAAGTCAGCAGAGAAGTAGCTGGCTGTGCTAATTACCTCCCACTGGAAACAGACAAATATCTACTCCTACCACAGGGTGGTTAAAACTATAAATAACAGCTTAGCAGAGCAAGCTGTAGTTAGGGGTTCATGCCAACCCCACACTTTATGTGGCTGCTGAGACACGGCCATAAGGGATCTGAGTGGGGGCTTGTGGCTCACAAGGGCTGGTGATGGCCTTCTCTTCTGGAGTTCAGAACAAGCCCCAAGCTCCCCAGTGGGGGCAACAGATGTGTCGCTGTCCCTCCTGGGGGGCAGGCAAGAGAAAAGGAAGCAAACAAAGATAAGCACAAATCCACCACCAATGCTGAAAAGGGGGCTCAAAACACAGGCCTGATGGCCAGAGAGTTAACAGTACTGTTTTCATAAATGAAGGCGTGTTTCAATACATCAGGACAGGGATTCCTGACGCTGTGTGTTAAGGGAAATGTGTCAACCCCAGTCATAAAGTCTTACTGCAAGGAAGTCCCAACACTTTTAATGCATTGGTTGAGAAACAGACTCTCCACGAACAGCTTGCCCTCTGCTTGGCAGGGACGCCACCCGTGGACTACACTGGAGCACGGAGCTGGAGGCCCAAGTCCATCACACAGCACCACTGTGAGGTCAAGACCAAAGCAATGATGTGTGGACTTTGATCAATGAGGAGAGAGCTCTGTTTGTAGGGGCAGCCCCTCCACCTGGCTGGCTGCAGCTGAGTTGTGGTGAGGCATCCATGCCGGCCCTCAGTGTCCTCAGGGTAACTAAACCTGCAGTAGGAGAGGACACTTGTGGGTCAGCTTTTTTTTTTTTTGAGATGACGTTTCACTCTTGTTGCCCAGGCTGGAGCACAGTGGCACGATCTTGGCTCACTGCAAGCTCCGCCTCCTGGGTTCAAGTGATTCTCCTGCCTCAGCCTCCCGAGTAGCTGGGATTACAGGTGCACGCCACCACACCCAGCTGATTTTTGTATTTTTAGTAGAGACGGGGTTTCACCATGTTGGCCAGACTGGTCTTGACCTCCTGACCTCAGGTGATCCACCCGCCTCAGCCTCCCAAAGTGCTGGGATTACAGATGTGAGCCACCACGCCCAGCCCATGGATCAGAGTTTTAATCAATCATTTGTGTTTTGAAAAACCACACAATAGAGACCTCTGGTTCAGTAAAAATAACTTGTTTCTTTTTGGAGTTGTTACCACGGGGGAACACAGCTCCCCACATGCCTCAGGGGGAGACTGAGCCTGGAGTCTGATGATGTGTGGGTCAGAGTCTCAGGAGCCTGCCACGCCCCCTACCCCTCCACCGCAAGCCCCATTCCCTGCTCACAAACTCTCCCCTACAAAGAGGGCCAGGACCACTCACCGGATTTGGATCTTCCATGAGCAGCATTTGAGGCAATACTGAGAGATTGGGGCTTTATGGGGTCCCCCAGGACAGGAAAGCTTCCGGCACTGGGAACCTGGATATAAGGCCCCACAGCAGCGACCCTGCCGGATGTGCTCAGAGGTGACTGTGGTGACGACGTGCCATTCACACGGTTCAGCTACAAATTGGGAAGAAATGAGAGTCAAGATTCCCCTAAATTAAAAGAAATCCTAAGCCTAGTGCAAGAGACTGCCAGCTCGGACAGAAACCAATCACTCAGTGGTTTGTTTTTAGGAAGCGTGTCATCTGGAAAGATCGGCATCTAGAAGGGGAGACTGCGGAGAAGGAACTGTAGCTTCCTATGAGCAATTCTCTGACAACACCCACCCATCCGGAGCCGCACACATGAGCTGACACCAGGGCAGAGCGACTTCCCCGTGATCCACATGTAGCTTCCCTCTTACTCAGGATGCTCTTCCTCCCTTAGGTTGGCACAGAGACATTGGTCAAATCCTAGGCCTGAGCCTGGCTTCAAATTCCCTCTTCTGTCACTTACTCACTGTGCTGCTTTGGGCAGGTGACTTGGCCTCTGTGCCCACACCTGTAAAGTCAGGATAAGGGCTGTAGTCAGTACTGTCCAAGCCACATGGGGCACAGTGAGCAGAGAAGACTCTGACTCCGAGCAATGAGCCCAGTTCCCTGAAGGCAGCGCTGCCCTTCTCAGCCAGGACACAGAGCCACAAACAGAGGACACTGTTCACGTAACACTGCTCAGGAACAACGGGGCCTGGAATAGGGATTCTAGAGAACTACTGACTCCTCGAGATGTCAATATAGGCTCTAAATGGGATGCATAACCCATCTGATTGTCTGTAAGATTCTACATGCGTGAGCAGAGATCATTTCATAGGTCATCTTGGGGTGAGGGGTCGTGGCTTTCACAACTGCTCAAAGTTGCCTATGACCTCAGGGTGGAGACGCATCTCTGCAAAAATAAAAAATACTGACTGCTTCAAGGCGATCCCTTGAAGTGTAGGTGGAATGAATCTAGCTATTTGTGATGGTTAACTTTATACATCACCTTGGCTAGTAACCAGTTATTTGGCCAAACACCAGACTACATGTTATGGAAAAGGTATTTTCTAGATAAGATTAATTTTTTTTTTTTTTAAATTTCCATAGGTTATTGGGAAACAGGTGGTGTTTGGTTACATGAGTAAGTTATTTAGTGGTGATTTGTGAGATATGGTGAACTCAAGCACTGGTACACTGCACACAATTTGTAGTCTTTTATCCCTCACCCCCTTCCCACCCTTTCCCCCTGAGTCCCCAAAGTCCACTGTGTCATTCTTATGCCTTTGCATCCTCATAGCTTAGCTCCCACTTATGAGTGAGAACATAACGATGTTTGGTTTTCCATTCCTGAGTTACTTCACTTAGAATAACAGTCTCCAATCTGCATGAGATTAACTTTTAAATTGGTAGATTTGAGTAAAGCAGATGACCCTCTAGAAGGTGGGTGGGCCCCATCCAATCAGTGGAATGCCCTAAGAGAAACAGAGAGATGCCCTGAGAAAGCGCGATCCTGCCTAGAGTCGGCCTTCGGACTCCAGCTGCAACATCTCTCCTGGGCCTCCAGGCTGCTGGCCAGCCTCACAGATTTTGGACTTGCCAATGTCCACCATCATGTGAGTCAATTCCTTAAATCACACACACACACGTCCACAATCACATGAGCCAATTCCTTAAGATAAATCTCTCTTCCTTTCTCTACACAAACACACACACACACACGTGCACGCGCGCACTACTGGTTCTTTCTCTGGGGAGCCCTGACTACTACGCCATTACTGAAGAGCATACGTAAGCACAGAGAAAGTGCTTGCAGCCTCTCTCTTACATGGCCTCTTTGTTGTTAATCTTGAGAAAAAGGAAAACCAATATCTGAAATCATAAAGTTGTACAAATTACTGACCTTTAAACTCACTGTTTTTTTAAAAGAAGGGCAGATTTGTAAATAAGAAACTGTGACACCCACAGAACTGGAAGCCCCCTTCTTCGTCTACCACCCTCTAAACCCACTCCCCCTAGGCAAAGTCCCTCAAGCCCATGCTGTCTCCTCAGAGCATCTTTCAGAGAAGCAGAGACTAACAAGAGGACACTCTTCTGTCACCAAACTATACGCAGAAGGGAGATGTGGGAAGGGCGTCCTTGCTGGTGGGTCAGGAGAGTGGGTGTGCCACTCTCCTACCACGAGGGCAGAGTGTACTCAGCTCTGCATTCAGGCACTGCTCCCTTAATAACTGAGTGCCACAGGTGCGAGAAAAGTCAAGTGCCACATCCGGCCAAAGACAAAGAGTGCAGGCGCCCCTCCTCCATGCAGGTGGCTCAGTGATACATGTGCTCACCAATGCACTGTGAGTGGCAGCAAGACTCAGGACTCCCTGCCTGACTACAGAGGGTGGTAAAGGGGTTACAGGCTCTGGTTATAGCTTTCAGATGGTACAACCAGAATGAGGTAATGACCTGGAAAGACACCTTTAAAAAAAGACTAAGTGAGACAGTGAGACTAGTGTAATTCCTGCAATCCCATTTTCAGTTAAAGTTCTGTACCTTTGTGTCTTTTTTTTTTTTGAGATGGAGTCTCGCTCTGTTGCCCAGGCTGGAGTGCAGTGGCGCGATCTCGGCTCACTGCAAGCTCCGCCCCCTGGATTCACGCCATTCTCCTGCCTCAGCCTCCCGAGTAGCTGGGACTACAGGTGCCCGCCATCGCGCCCGGCTAATTTTTTTGTTTTTTTTTTTTAGTAGAGACAGGGTTTCACTGTGTTAGCCAGGATGGTCTCGATCTCCTGACCTTGTGATCCGCCCGCCTCGGCCTCCCAAAGTGCTGGGATTACAGGCGTGAGCCACTGTGCCCAGCCACCTTTGTGTCTTTATTAAGGAAAAGACTGGAACCATTAGCAATTACCACCTCTAGAGAACAGGTGGAAAGGACTTTCACATTTTCCCTTAAATATTTCTGTATTTACCTTAAGAGATTTATCTTAAGGAATTGACTCGTGATTGTGGACGCTGGCAAGTCCAAAATCTTTGATACTGAATTTCAAAGGTTAATAAATACACATTTTTTCAATGAGCATTTATTCAATGAGTATTTTATTGTATTATTTTTTCGATAAGTATTTATTCAATGGGTATTTTATTGTATTACTTTTTCAATGAGTATTTACTACCTTTGAAATTCAGTATCAAATAAGGATTTTTTAGAAGTACAACCCCTTATGTAGCATTTTGGTCAAGAGTTTACAAAATCCTTCCACATGGCTTATTTATAAGAATGCTTACAACAACTCATGGGGCAGGTAGGACAAATCACTTTACAGCAAGAACATGAGGCTATGCAAGTCAAGGAATTTGCTCAAACTGGCACAGCTTAAAACGACAGAGTGCAGACCATGACAGATGCTGCGACTCCAGAGCCAACAACATCCTCCGGTGAAGAGGAGACAGCAGAAACACATGGGGAGGAAGGAAGGCCAGGACACGGAGAGCAAGGGTGCAGGCTGGGGATGGTTTTGCCTCCACACACTAGGAAACAAATGAGTTGTTGGGAGAAGGAACTTTGTTCTGTCATTTTTGATGGTTTATGGCCTATTTATGTTTTATCAGCTACAACGGATAGGGGGAGCATAATGCTACTTACAGAAGATGAGCAATGCTTGGATAAACTATCTTTAGTAGTTTATCTCACAAAAACTTTTTCACATGCCTGAATTTTTTTCCCATAGAGACGTTCACGCAGTTCACTGATTCGCTTGTCCATCATGGCCACCTCCATGTTGCGCTTATTTAAGAGTTCCTTCTGCTGCTGAAGTTTTGAATTTTGTTCCTGGTTAAGCTGGTTACGAATCTACAAACCACAAAATACAACTTTTATGATTTGCGTTAATTAAAAGTCAAATTCTCATTGCCCGGGAGATTAAAAAAGAAAAAGTAGCATTAAGTTCTGATGTATATTTACATGCATGCACTGCCACCTTGTGTGAAATATTTCACAGGTACAGCAGAGATGAAGCCAGGACAGAGTTCTCATGGAACAAAGAAAGAGCGAACATCTGTGATGCATCTTCTTCAAAGCACACGAAATGACTAGTGCGAATGATGATTACAGGAGACTGAGTGCGGTATAACTAAAGGAAAATCTGCTCCACTCCATGGAGCTGCTTCAGGCCTGAGCCCACCACATGATGCACCTTACTGTGAAGGCAGCAGGAAATTCAAAAAGGACCAAAAACGATGGCCTGAATCACCAAGTGAAGCACCTTTACGTCATTTTAGTGGCTTGCAACCAGCGTTTTTAAGAAATGAACTAGGATAGAACAGAAAATATCAGAGTGTACTTCCCATAGTAAGAGTTGTCTTAAACTTTCAGATGCCCACAGCACTAGTGCATACACACGTCCATGTGTATACTCAACAGGACATAAAATGTACTTTTAAAAACTGGACTGCAGGCCAGGTGCGGTGGCTCACACCTGTAATCCCAGCACTTTGGGAGGCCGAGGCAGGTGGATCACCTGAGGTCAAGAGTTCAAGATCAGCCTGGCCAACATGGTAAAACCCCGTTTCTACTAAAAATACAAAATTTAGCCGGGTGTGGTGGCGTGCGCCTATAATCCCAGCTACTCAGGAGGCTGAGGCAAGAGAACTGCTTGAAACCAGGAGGTGGTGGTTGCAGTGAGCTGAGATTGCCCCACTGCACTACAGCCTGGGCAACAGAGCCAGACTCTTTCTTAAAACAAAACAAAACAACAACAATAAAAACTGGGTTGCAAGCTGGGCGCGGTGGCTCACGCCTGTAATCCCAGCACTTTGGGAGGCCAAGGTGGGCAGATCGTGAGCTCAGGAGTTTGAGACCAGCCTGGCCAACATGGTGAAACTCCGTCTCTAATAAAAATACAAAAATTAGCCAGGAGTGGTGGTAGGCACCTGTAATCCCAGCCAGTGCGGAGGCTGAGGCAGGAGAATCCCTTGAACTCAGGAGGCAGAGGTTGCAGTGAGCCAAGATCATGGCACTGCACTCCAGCCTCGGATTCCGTCTGAAAAAAAAAAAAAAAAAAACAAAACTGGATTGCAGTCCAAAAAGCTGGAAAGAAATGACATCCTTGTATCACACTCATCACATTTCATCAAAAAATCCTTAAAACCTCGCTTAAAATGTAAAAGAAGTCATGAAACCTTATAATACTGTAGTACTTCTATGCATGTATGTTAAAGAACAGCAGCCACAAGTGATTTTACTCTATGTAGTTAAATACCCTCATTTCATAAAATGATATAATACTTTTTCTAGCAAGTGCTAATAAAGCAGCAAGACCTATTTCTGGCTTGAAAAATCGCCTGCTGAATGACAACTTCTGAGACATGAAAATATTGAGGATTGTTCAGGACTGAATATGTCCCCCAAAATCTCTATGTTGAAGCCCTAACCCCAATGTAATGGTGTCTGGAGGTAGGGTCTTTACGAGGTAATTAGGTTTAGGCAAGGTCATGAGGGTGGGGCCCCCCATGATGAAGTTAATGGAGACAGACTAAAACTCTCTCTCCACCACGTGGGGACACAGTGAGAAGGCGGCTCTCTGCAAGCCAGAAAGTGAACACTCAATGGGAACTGAATTTGCAGGCACCTTGATCTTGGACTTCCAGCCTCCAGAATGGTGGGAAATAAATGTCTATAGTTTAAGCCATCCAGCCTATGATATTTTGTTACAGCAGTCTGAGCTAAGACAAGGATTTAACAATAGGCACCTAGCTCATCAAAAGAGTTTACACAAAGGCCTTAAAATATCATCTAAGTTTAATTCTTTACTGGATTATTATTAAATTCTTTTGTGCTGAAAACATCCTAAGTGAAAGAAGCCGGTCACAAAGGACCACATACAGGGTGTGTTTTGGTTAATATCCCTTAACTAAAATGCTGGGGACCCAGAAGCATTTCAGACGTTGGATTCATTCAGATTTTTAAATATTTACGTTATATTTACCTGTTTAGCATCCTTCCTAATTTGGAAATCCGAAATCCAAAATCCAAAATGCTCCAGTGAGCATGTATTTCCTTTGCATGCCACAGTGGAGCTCAGAAAGTTTCAGATTTGAAGCATTTTAGATTATCGGATTAAGGATGCTCAACCTGTACTGCATGACTCCACTCATATGAAATGTCCAGAATAGCCAAATCCACAGAGACAGAAAGTAGATTTGTGGCTGCCAGGCTCTGGAGGGTATGGAGGTTGTGGGGTGATGGCTAAGAGGTATGGGCCTTCTTTTTGGGTGATAAAAATGTCTAAAATTAATTGTGGTGGTAGACGTAACTGATAAGTCTGTGAAGGTACTGAAGTCACTGAATTGTATCCTTGAAATGGATGAATTGTATGCTGTGTGAATTATATCCCTTTTTTTGTTTAAGACAGTCTCACTCTGCCGCCCAGGCTTGAGTGCAGTGGTGCAATCTTGGCTCACTGTAGCCTCTGCCTTCTGGGTTCAAGCGATTCTTCTGTCTGGGGGCTGGGACTACAGGTATGCGCCACCACGCCCAGCTAATTTTTGTATTTTTAGTGGAGATGGGGTTTCACCATATTGGCCAGACTGGTCTTGAACTCCTGACCTTGTGATCTGCCTGCCTCGGCTTCCCAAAGTGCTGGGATTACAGGTGTAAGCCACCACACTCGGACTATCCCAAGTCATTTTAAAAATTATTTTGTACTGAATATATCTCGTGCCTACTATTAAATAAGAATCTACTAATTTGTTTCCACTTCCTAAGGTTTCCAACCCATGCTAACGAAAGACAGAAAGATGAGAATGTTTTAATACAACCACTGCCAGACCCAGGAGTTACCTGTAGTTCTTGGTACAGTCTTTTTAGCTCCACCGCTGCTGGTCCTGTCAATTTGCCATTATAAGACTGGAACCCATTCAGTTTTCCTTTCTTTAAATCTTCCAACTGCTGACTAAGCTGATCAACCCTTAAAATTGCAGTCTGTACTTCCTGCTTCTTTTCCTGGAACATGGCACTGAACCTTTCTATTTCAGCAGCTATAATTGCCCACACACAAAAAAAGAATAAAACATTTAGTTGATCCTTTTTTTTTTTTCTCATTTCTTACACTGAACTTAATTCTAGTATCATCTAGTGCCAGACCCTGGAGACAGTTGTGATATGCAGAATCCAAAACACATTTCAAAAAGCCTTTGGGACACATGTATCTGATTACTCATAAAGCAAATAATTATATTTGCATTAATTCCTGACTATTCTTTAGGGTAATCAGTCCATAAGCTAGTTTGTTCAAGTGACTTAGAAATCTCTGAGACCAAAGGTTTTGTGAAGGCAGGGCCATCCAAGCCTGTCTCATGCATCACTGTGACTTACAAGTAGGCATAGACTGAACCAGTGAATAAAATAAGAGTTCATACAGAAAAAAAGTGAGCAAAATCAGCATAACTTATCTTAATGCACGGATACAAGTTAAGTTATTCAAGAAAAACAGACCCTCTGAATGAGTAAGACTTGGAGTGCCCCACCCTAATCCAAAGGGCCACTGGTACCAATGTAACGAGAGGATCTTTCTACTGCATCTAAGGGTCGCAAGGTATCTTTATTTTTTTGAGACAGGGTCTCACTGTCATTCAGGCTGGGGAGCACTGGCCCGATCATGGCTTACTGCAGCCTTGACCTCCCAGGTTCAAGCAATCCTCCCACCTCAGCCTCTCAAGTAGCTGGGACTACACAATTCTAAGATCACTTATCGTAACCAATCCATCCTTTTAGATGCAAATAACAGAGCAAAACTTTAGCACACTTCCTATTTAGTCCTGTGAATCTGTGACTGAATTGTCAGGCAGTTAGACTGTGTTTCACTGGATCTGGGCCTGGTGAGAGTGGTGTCAGGGGGTGTTGCAGGCACGTACACAGATTGCCGTTCATGATTTTGCTGTAGTCGACTTGTCCTCTCATGGCACGAATTTTCTTCAGCTTGTTCTCCTGGGCTTCAACTCGTTCTTTCAATTTCTGAAGCTTCTCATTTTCAGAAATAGACTGCTGCTGACGGCGCTCCTGTTGCTTTAGAAAATGTAAACGCTGTTCCTAAAAAAGAAAGAAAAATGTAACTTTGGAAATTGAAGGCCGGGCACAGTGGCTCACACCTGTAATCCCAGCACTTTGAGAGGTTGAGGTGGGTGGATCACCTGAGGTCAGGAGTTCGAGACCAGCCTGGCCAACATGGTGAAACCCTGTCTCTACTAAAAATGCAAAAAGTAACTGGGCGTTGTGGTGGGCGCCTATAGTCCCAGCTACTTAGGAGGCTGAGGCAGGAGAATCACTTGAAACCGGGAGATGGAGGTTGCAGTGAGCTGAGATCGTGCCACTGCACTCCAGCCTGGGTGCCAGCGTGAAACTGTCTCAAAAAAAAAAAAAGAAAAAAGAAAACTGAAACTTATGATTACTTTTATATACTCAAAAAGAAAAATGTGACAGTATTCTACAGTACCACTCATCTTAATGAATACTAAAACACTAGAGGAATCTTAGACCACACAAAACTGAAATTATTGGGCATATCTAAGTATGAAATAGTAAGAGCTGGGGGGTTTTTAAGAGAGAGGGTTTTTTCTTTTGTTTTGAGACGTAGTCTCGCTCTGTCGCCCAGGCTGGAGTGCAGTGGCACGATCTCGGCTCACTGTAAGCTCCACCTCCCAGGTTCACATCATTCTCCTGCCTCAGCCCCCTAAGTAGATGGGACTACAGGCGTCCACCACCATACCCAACTAATTTTTCTGTATTTTTTTAGTAGAGATGGGGTTTCACCGTGTCAGCCAGGATGGTCTCGATCTCCTGACCTTGTGATCCGCCCGCCTCGGCCTCCCAAAGTGCTGGGATTACAGGCGTGAGCCACCGCGCCCGGTGAGAGAGGGTTTTCTTATGCACACAGATCTACACCAGTTAATATAAGCGCTTCTGCAGAAAACCTCCCAGCAGCAGAACATGCACTAACACAATCTCCTCTTCACTCTATCACATCTGTGAAGTCCCAGTGAGCCTTACTTTCCTGCTGCAAGTAATACATTTCATGCTGCTACAAAGTGGCTTACAAGAATCTAATTCATTTCCTAAAGGACATGAACACTGACCAGCAGAGGATTTTACACTGAAAAGAGATAAGGTGATCAGTAAGGAGATAAATCTTCAATTTGTTATGATACTGAACAATCAAGGAACTGTCTGCTTTCTCCAGGATTAGTTTCTTCAATAATAAAACATTTTAGAGTCAAACAATACCAGAACAATCTAAAAATAACAATATATGCAATACTCTTCAATAGGGTTTTCCCTATTAATGTGAAAACATACCTTAAAGATAAGAGTCAACATTAAATATTCATGATCCCATATTTATGCATAAAATATACCTAAATAAGGAGAGATTTGAGGTGTGATTATGAAGGCACTACATACTACACTCTAAGGTAAAACAATATGTGCTTAAATATTTAAGATGCAGCATTAACTTGTGATTTACATTGCTGAAAATATCTACAACTATTTTTAACAGCAATACTCTTGGATCAGTATTTGGAAAAAAATAAAAAGCAGAATTAGAAAATTTTTACAATGACATAATACTATGTATATTTTATCTCAGAACTCTTATTAATGGGACACTTTCCAAGTGAACTTTTAATCATGTTTATTCTCATAAATCCAATAAACGTTGAGACAACTTTTTAAAACAAGTCCAACCCAAATTATTATTTACATAAAAGTGGATAGTACAATAAAGTATACAGTCACTCCATACATTTTTTAAAAATTCAGATTGAACATTTTAGTCATAAAGAAAATCTCTCTACAGAAGAAAGCAATTAAGAACCTAGTTGGTAATGTTTAAAAACATTATCTTTAAAGCAGTTTGGAATTTTTTTTTTTTTTTCCATTTTGAGACAGAGTCTCGCTCTGTCGCCCAGTCTGCAGTATAATGGCGTGATCTCAGCTCACTGCAACCTCCACCTCCCGGCTTCAAGTGATTCTCCTGCTCAGCCTGAGTGGCTGGGATTATAGGCGTGAGCCACTACGTCTGCCTAATTTTTGTATTTTTAGTAGAGTCAGGGTTTCGCCATGTTGGTCAGGCTGATCTCGAACTCCTGACCTCAGATGATCCACCTGCCTCGGCCTCCCAAAGTATTGGGATTACAGGCGTGAGCCACCACGCCCGGCCAGTTTTGGAACATTTTAAGATCATTTACAACATGGATCATTTCCAGCAGGCATGTGTGATAGATGTGATGTTTCAATTACGTATGACTAAACCATTATTTAGAAAAATTCCAGTTTCGATAACCAGTGTAGAACTCAGTATATGTAATGATCTATGCCCCACACTGTAATAAAGCAAACAAGTCCAACCTAGAGTAGGCACGCTGGAAAGCCCCGTTAACCACCTGTCATTGTCTTGATGGCCCTGATCAGTGTTTTCATCACCGATTGCTGCTTTCTTCTTGAACACTAATACCAATGACATAGCCAAGAGCATACCCAGAGGCAAAAGGAGAAAACGAAAGCACCCTTTCTTCCCGATTTTTGTTTGTTTGTTTGTTTGAGATGGAGTCTTGCTCTGTCGCCCAGGCTGGAGTGCAGCAGCGCAATCTCCACTCACTGTAAGCTCCGCCTCCCGGGTTCACGCCATTCTCCTGCCTCAGCCTCCAGAGTAGGTGGGACTACAGGGGCCCACCACCCGGCCTGGCTAATTTTTTAAAATATATTTTTAGTAGAAACGGGGTTTCACCGTGTTAGCCAGGATGGTCTCGAACTCCTGATGTTGTGAGCTGCCCACCTTGGCCTCCCAAAGTGGTGGGATTACAGGCATGAGCCACCGCGCCTGCCCCTCTTTTTTTTTTTTTTTTTTTTTTTAATACAGGGTCTCACTTACTCTTGTCACCCAGGCTAGAGTGCAGTGGCATGATCTTGGCTCACAGTAACTAGCTCCTGGACTCAAGTGATCCTCCTGCCTCAACCTCCCACATAGCTGGGACCACAGCCACATGACACCATGCCTGGCTAATTTTTTTTATTTTTTGTAGAGACAGGGTCTCCCTATATTTCCCAGGTCCTGAACTCCAGGGCTCAAGCAATCCTCCTGCCTGCTGGGATTACAGGCAGGAGCCACTGTGCCTGGCCCATTTTCAAATTTTATCTATGGGCCAGGTGCAGTGGCTCAAGCCTGCAATCCCAGCACTTTGGGAGGCCGAGAAGGGCGGATCACGAGGTCAAGAGATCGAGACCATCCTGGCTAAAACAGTGAAACCCCATCTCTACTAAAAAAATACAAAAAACTAGCCGAGCGAGGTGGCGGGCGCCTGTAGTCCCAGCTACTCAGGAGGCTGAGGCAGAAGAATGGCGTGAACCCGGGAGGCGGAGCTTGCAGTGAGCTGAGATCTGGCCACAGCACTCCAGACTGGGCAACAGAGCGAGACTCCGTCTCAAGAAAAAAAAAAAAAAAAAAAATTTTTATCTATGATTTTAATAAGGTCATCAGTTTCCTGTTTGGGGTGTCTATTGTGTCTGTCAAAGGTGAGATACTCTTGGCCGGGCGCGGTGGCTCACGCCTGTAATCCCAGCACTTTGGGAGGCCGAGGCGGGTGGATCACGAGGTCAGGAGATCGAGACCATCCTGGCTAACACGGTGAAACCCTGTCTCTACTAAAAAATATAAAAAATTAGCCGGGTGTGGTGGCGGGCACCTGTAGTCCCAGCTACTCGGGAGGCTGAGGCGGGAGAATGGCATGAACCCGGGAGGCGGAGCTTGCAGTGAGCCGAGACTGCGCCACTGCACTCCAGCCTGGGTGACAGAGCGAGACTCCATCTCCAAAAAAACAAACAAACAAACAAAGGTGAGATACTCTTGTTCTGATAGCTTCCCAACTTCCAGAAACTACAGTATGCATATATTATTATGGAAGTGATAACAAACAGAGAAAGACCGCACTTAGCACTCCCATGGCATGGTCCTATTTTATAAGCGTTACCCAAGAACATATTGACCCCAGTCTAAAATGATGGTGAAAAAAGGTACTTTTTAAACGATGTTTCAATACCTCTTTTTATAACTCACCTTGGCAACCAACATCTGCTGCTGATTTTCAATCTGCTGCTGTTGCCTAGCTGCCATATCTTGGAGCTCTGAGAGGGTAAGTTCAACACGTGGATTCCCAACCTAAACAAAAAGCACTTATTTTGGAACATACGTTTATCTGCATAATTGTCTTTCTCTAGAGTCAAAACTCACACATATCAGGACTTTAGAAAGGATCCCTAGAAATTAGGAGAGCACCAACTAGTTTATTTTCTTGTAAGAACTTTTCCTAATTGTAGACTGCTTTTATTAAATATAAGTAACTGTTTTTCTAATGCATAAACATCAGATACTGTATTTAGTAAGGGCTCAAGTTTAAGCAAACATTTGCAAATATGTATTGTAAGTGACATTCCTCCTTCTGGAATGACAATTTAGTAGGTATATTTGAGCAAATGAGGCTGTCAAATGTTTAAGGATACAAAACCAAAAAAATAAATATGCAGGTAACACCTAAGAACAAATGTCATCTCACTATCACCTGACTTCAGGAAATGAAAATATGTAATGGATTCTAATATATGAATAACTAAAAACACCATATGCATGACTTACATGAACACATCATCCGAAAGAATTACATATGTGAAATCAACATGCAAAGTAACATCTAGAGGAATGCAATTGGCTGTTTCTCCATTCTCCATTCTGTCAATGATGCCCTGAACTGAACACTTTACATATATGGACCCATTTCAGCCTCAGAATGACCAATCAGGTGGGTACTGTTACATCCCCGTTTTACAGATAAGAACACAAGCACAGGCCAGTCAACTTGTGAGGCAGAGCAGAGATGCAGAGTCTATGTTCTTGACTGTTACTCACAGTTCATTACTTACTAAGCCCACACCACGTGCACTGTGTACGGTGACAGACATGTTATGAGCATTGTGCCATATGCTCTTCAAAACAAATCTGCATGGGGCTGCAGGGGTGATGTGAGCCCCATTCTGGGTGAGGAGCCATGGGGGTGACGGAAGGAGCATGCCTAGAGGCATGCAGCTCATTAAAGCCCTAGAGCTCCATTCTCACCAGCCCATCTACAAACCCTTCAGTTCTGAGCAGGGAGGCCACACAGTTCCTCCTCAAGCCCCCATGTTCTACTTCTAGGTTCATATATACTCTTAGGACACCTTTACCTTCCTCCACCCTTAAACCTCTTAGAATTCTTAATAGTCAGTTACAGTTTCTGTTCCTCCAGCTCCATGTCTTCCTAAACTTCTCTGATGGATGTTTGAGCACATTCTTGACTCTTGAAACGTGGGATCAGGACTTAACAGTCTTTTTTTTTTTTTGAGAGGGAGTCTTGCTCTGTCACCCAGGCTGGAGTGCAGTGGCGCAATCTTGGCTCACTGCAACCTCCGCCTCCCGGGCTCAAGCAATTCCCCTGCCTCAGCCTCCCAAGTAGCTGGGACTACAGGTGCCCGCCACCACACCCAGCTAATTTTTGTGTTTTTTAGTAGAGATGAGGTTTCACCATATTGGTCAGGCTGGTCTCGAACTCCTGACCTTGTGATCTGCCTGCTTTGGCCTCCCAAAGGGCTGGGATTACAGTTGGATTACAGGCATGAGCCACTGCGCCCGGCCGGATTTAACAGCCTTAACTGGAACCACCATTCTGTTTATCTAAAAATCCTGAGCAAACAATATGGTACAAGCTTTTTCCTTTTTTTTTTAAATTTAGAGACAGAATCTCGCTCTGTCACCCAAGCTGGGGTAGAGTGATGCAATCACTGCAGCCTCAAGCTATCCTCTCGCCTAGCTAGCACTACAGGCACACGCCGTCATGCCTGGCTGATTTTTAAATTTTTTTTGTAGAGGCAGGGGTCTCAACATGTTGCCTGTGCTGGCCTCAATCTCCTGGGCTCAAACGATCCTCCCACCTGGGTCTCCCAAAGCACTGAGATTACAGATGTACAGGTGTAAGCCAGTGTGCCCAGACTTAAAACACTTTTTGACTAGAGAAGAACTATGTCTATTCACAAATCTTTCAATTAACATTAATTTTATAATTTCACAACTTAAAGAAAAAAAAAATCAAAAACTAGCTTTTTGGTCTCCCCTACCAAAGGCTTCACAAAACAATGAAAAGAGGATAGAAGAGAAATTTAACTGTCTGGTGTTCTGATGTTTGTATCTATGAATAAAATAGAGCTTATTAAAATATTTTACTTACCTAAACCAAACAGCATTTTATTTGCCAATACAAACATTTCTACTCTTTATGTTGCATGTGTTTTTCTAGGTACAAAATTAAGATATGCCATGTTGTCATAAGTAATTCAGTCATTGTATCTTATACATCAACTTATATTGTAATGAAATTTTACTGAAGATCTTATATATAGAAAAGTGTAATAAATCCTAACGTACAGCTGAATGAATTATTTCAAAATGAACACGCCTGTGTGCTTTAATTGTATTTAAATGGGTTATAAAAACATAAGCTACCATAAACCTGTAAGTCAATAAATATGTAACAATTTACATTTTAGTAATTGTGCAATGTGAAAACTTGGGAAAAAAGAAGCACTTTTTCCACAATTTTAAAGAAAATGAAAACCCTTCAATGAAAATTTGATTTTTTTAATAATAGGCCTAGCAATGTATTACATGCAACCTAATCCCTATTTACAATTTTAAATTTTTCATACAAACTTTATTTATTCAAACAAACCTATTACCTAATTCTTCCCTATTTCTCTTCATTGATTGCATCTAATAAGAAGAAATCAAACTCTGTTCCCTCAGGCAATTCGAGGTCCCTAATTATGGTAGAGTTGTCGGATGAGTTCCGCTCCAGGTCACACAGAGCACAAGCCACTTCCAACAACTAAGTTAAATTAGCAGAAAAGTTCTCTCAGCAACAGTCAGACAGGTGCCTATGAATACAGGACCCCCAAAAAGGAAACACCCCACCAGCCTTAAACCTGCTCCAATGATCCCTTCGGCAGGGACTACCACCTGTGGCCCCAGGGATCCAAATGTCCTCTAACACCGACGTTCACTACCTGAACTCTGGATTCCAGGAACCCTGTTTCTGCTCCTGATGAACCCAGCTCACTCTCCACCTCACACCACGTCGCTTGTTTTCCACACTAAACACGGCCCACCCCACCTCAGGTCTAGCTAACCTCCCACCCCAACCCCAGCATGAGCAGAGGGAAAGAGACGTTTTTATGATCACTTATCCGATCATATCACCGCCTTCTTTCTCCAAACTTCCACAAATCTACTTGCGGAAATAAGAGACTTTACTAGCTAGCTTACAAAATTTTTATAAACAAAATATTTGCCTCTCCAAGTATTAGTAAGAAGGCTAGTCTTACATTCTATTTAATGTACTACTTAAATATTTTGCTAATATGCGGCCAGGCATGATGGCTCACAGCTGTAATCCCAGTTCATGAGTTTCAGACCAGCCTGGACAACATGGTGAAACCCCATCTCTACAAAATATACAAAAATTAGCCAGGCATGGTGGCGGACACCTGTAGTCCCAGCTACTCAGGAGGATGAGGTGGAAGGAACGCTTGAACCCGGGAGGTTGAGACTGCAGTGAGCTGTGACTGTACCACTGCGCTCCAGCCTAGGGGACACAGTAAAACCCTATATCAAAAAAAAAAAAAAAAAAAGAAAAAAGAAAAAAAGAAACACTAAATAATGCTCTGTAAGGAATGCTATTTTGACATTACAATTTCAGGCAAATAAACATACTAATTTAGTCAACCCAACTGTTTCTAGTCAGAGAACACACTCTGGTACAGATTTGAATTTTGTGTCATGCTTGGATAAACCCAAAATATTCTGCTTTTGCTTGGCATACATGTGCCAAGTGCCTCAGAGGCAGAGGAGCATCTCCGATGCCTGTTTTGTTGTGCACATATGCTGGCTCTACCTGCTCTGAAGTGCCCTCTTGTTTAGCTTTTGCTACCCTAAAGATGCTTTCCTGTCCTGTAACTTTATTTTTATTATAAGTTCAGTCACAGTGCCATCTCCCCAAACAGCATCATCATAACCCAGAGAAGAGAGAGAACATGCATATGTTTAAAGGAGCTAAGCTACAGTGTAAACAATGGAGGTCTAACTATGAATGGTGCTTTTTCCTTCAACGCCTAACACACATTCCTTGGTGATCAGTTAACAGAAAAGATTAGTGGATTTTGTCAGCAATTAAACATCTACTGGCAAATGGGTCACTTCAGATATCCCTAATCTTGATATGCTGATTTTAATAATCAGCCAAATTACTTCATGGAAGTAAAAGCATGGAAGAGTGAAAAAAGTTCAAAAGAAGGACAAGACACAGTAGAATCAGAGCAAATTTCCATCAGGAAAAACAGCCTTGTTGCTGTCCCATCTACAGTATCTGCTAAAATTAAAGTACCAGTCTCTTAGCCCATAGAAAGACAAATGGCAAAATGCTTCAAGGTTTAGCACAAGCAATAATAGAGAACTTCAAAAACTACCATCCTTAGAAGATTCGTTGTCACCAGCACTTCATGATGGTTCCTGGGGTGGCCTGTAGAAGCTTTTCCCGCAGCTCCCTCACACTGCCAACTCACGACAGGGATAATGAGATGGACCCAGATTTCAGAAACAATACAATGTGGAATGTGTCCATGAAATAGGGTTGAAAGGTTGACTTGGAACTCAGTGGGCCTGTTGCTTTTCTCTATGAAACATCTGTAGCTTCTTTCCATAGTGGGTTCATTTAGAAAGGAGGGTCTGTTAACCAGTACATGGTCACTGTTTAACGGCCCTTTTAATCTCTTCCCCATCTGTGGCGGTTATGTCTCCTTGTAAGTTCATTTATTCTTTTGAATGTTCTGTTTGTGTTCAATATTATTCATCTGTACTTTTATCTTTAATTATCCCATGTCTTTTATTTGAACCTTTTCTTCATTTATTGAGTAGAGAGTTCACTTATTTTTAGTTTGCTTTTTAACAATAAAAGAATTTAAAGCCACATACTCATTCTGAGTGTAACTTTCAGCCCTATCCCTAGATTTTTTTTTTCTAACTTTTCAAGTCACAGGCTTTTCTTTTTTAGAGTTAATTGAGGCATAATTTACATATCC